GCGCTTTACAAAAATTCTTGAGGCTGTGGGCTTTCGTGTGCGCGAGACAAAAGATTCAGCTAAATTGCGTTCTTCTGCTTGAAGCGAATTGAGATATCTTTCAAAGACGCCTCCTTCCCACACAAATTATTAGTGTCAGGCAACAAGCGCGACGACTTTAGTGTAGTTATTGAGATAGAAGAGAATGCTTCACTTTGTGAATCTCTAATCGATTCGATCAAATTGATAGCGAAGGTGCTACTTTGTTTCTGCGGCAACTATTGTCTTGGTATAAGCCATACACTCTGCACGCGACCCTTTAGGGTTGCCTAGCTGCCACGCCATAATATGATCAAGCAGGTTTTTAATATGGGGACCAGGCCTTACATTAAGTTCCTTGGTGAGATCAGCGCCCTGTCAAAATATCGAACACGTCAATTTAATTTTCGTCGCTTTGTTAGGAAACAACTTATGACGTACATTAAGCAGTGGCTTCAATTCCCACACCCTATCCAGACACGCATTCTGAATCCGTAAGCTGAATGTGTCATACCGTTTCGACACCGTATTGCGAGCCTCAACAGCTTCATCAACCGGTCCGGCGTCGGCTAAATCTTGCGTACGTACAACATCAAGACAAAGTTTCCACTGGATACCAATATTTCGAATCAATAGGCCAATCTCCACCCGGTCAAAGTCTTTTGTTGCTGCTTGTTGTAGTTGATCAACGTGAGATAATATATTACACACGTCCTTAGCCTCGCGATTGGACCATTTGAGCGAATCTTGGACAACAAACATTGCAACCGATCGGCGGCGCTTGTCGCGCACACAAAGACTGCGAAATGGCAACAAAAAAGCCGCCAATATACGGACTTGGAAATCATGCTTCTCCTCTGCCGATAATTTGTCGATGTCGAAAGCCTCATCCATCGAAATTAAGCGATGCATCTCTAATACATTGGTACAGCCCCGATCCCACATTTTGACATCGACTTGCGCCGGCTCACCATTTGCATAACAAACTGGGGTTTTATCTAGCAGTACAGAAGGCAGAAACACGCTCTCACATAGATGCAATTCGTGCAGTATTCGAAACGCACGTTCAGGATGCGCACTACTACCCGTAAGCATGCCGGACAGCTCCTTACCCACACGCTCACGACTCACTTTACGTAAAAATGCTACTCTTACTTCCTCAAGCTTCGCGGCAAGTCGCAAGTCGTCGTCTAACCTGCAGTTGAAGCGTGAGGCAAAGCGTACAGCTCGCAGCACACGCAGCGGATCATCTAAAAATGTGACACGTGGATTTAGCGGCGTCCGCAAACGTCCATTTTCCAAGTCTTCGATGCCGCGTCTTGTAAAGTCCTCCACTTGCTTCGTTGCCAGATTGTAAAAGAGACTATTGATGGTAAAGTCGCGTCGCTCAGCGTCTTGCTGGGTTGTACCAATTTCAACGCATGGAATACGATTGTCTTCCGACGCATAAGTCTCTGCTCGAAGATTGACAAAGTCTACCCAGCTCATATTTTCTCCAATCTGCATGGTGGCCGTTTCGAGATGTTTGCTCTGCTCCGGATTGGCCTTGATGACTCCAACTGTTCGTGCTGTACGACC